ACACACACACACACACACACACACACACACACACACTGACCTGCTGCGTGCATAAATTTAGCTCAATGTCATTCATGCAATCCAAAGTGACTTTGGCCAAAGATTGTCTTTTCTTCAAAACGGATCAAGGTTAACAGATGGAAAAGTTCGAGGGACAAAAATGATTTTATTATATATATAAAAAAAAAAAAACACAATGCACTTCTTGGGCAGGCTCTGGAGAACCTTATCCAAGGTTCCAACCTTATCCATTTTCCCTTGAACCCGTTCAGCGGTGGTAAAAGAGCACCCCCCCCCCTCCTGAATGCCATTCTCACTGACCTTCTTTCTTGTCCTCTTGGATGCTTTTGGCTTTAACGTCAGTGATGTTCTTGAACGAAGCCAGAAAGAGCACCACGTCCCCCTTTTCATTCTTAATTGGCACAATGTCCAACAGACACCAGAAGAGCACCCCTGAAAAGAAAAACATTCCGATGAACACATTTCTTGACCACCTTTTATTGAAAGCGGGTACATGGCGTTGTGCTGTAAAATGCACGTGTGCGAGTGGCTCAGACCTGAGCGAGGGTAAACGGTTCGGAAAACGGATGGGTGGAATTGAATTGTTATGAAACAACTATTTTCGATGTACTAACTTTGTTACTGAAAAATCGCAGCCACAACGGAGTCATACGTTAGCACGAGCGCTGGTTACATCTTCATACTTTGTCGCTTCGGTTTCGAGTGCGGAGCACACAAGGCGCCAAAACTCAACTTTTTGACAGTTGTTGAAAAACCGCAAGAGGTTTTTCCTTCTCGTCTGGAGGAATAGGAATGAATGAAATGCAAATGACGAGAATCTCCCATGGAGTTTTCTCCCATCACGCTCACTCACACTCACTTGCCTGCTGATGACTCAGGCAGTGCGTGCATGTGTGCGACTCCGTGCGGCGTTGTGCACTTCGGGAGACTTTTTACATGACAGACAAGATTATTTGTGGACAACTGGCTCAGGAGTCAAACCAGTGCGCCACCTTTTGACTTTCAATTCCATTTTCCGATATTCTGAGCGAGCCGAAAAACAAAAATCTTGGGACTTGGAATCCTCGGGTCAATGAAGAGTTTCAAGATTGCAGTGGTAGGAACAGCAGGGTGTCGCCAGCATAACAATTAGCTGATGTGCTGGTTTCAAGCTGAGACAACAACAAAGGGACTGAAAGAGGGGGGGGTTGTGGGGGGGGGGGGTCGTAAACCGACAAACTATACATTGTGGAAACAGTCAACTTGGAATTGCACTTTCGAACAAAGTGGAAAGTGCAAAGAGACAGATGTTGGATCCGAGTAAAAAGAAATATGTGATAACAGATTGCGGAGTGTGACTGGAAAAGCAACTCAAAGCAGGACTTGGTGGCAGGACCACATCTGTGATGCTATTCGTTGAAAAAAATTTATAAGACCCAATGTGGAGCACAATGTGGAGCACAGCCATTTGACAAGTGTACACGAATTCATCCCAAAGTAAGTTTTTCTCTTGGCTCAGCTCATTCATCGACCTGCCGACTTACAGCACTTGGCGACATGTCTCCATCCACCTCCTCGACTCTTTCCGGGCGGAATATCTTGCCAGCGGTTACTTGTAACTATGTTTAATCAAATAATGATGGGCAGGGGTGGGGGGGGGGCAGAATATGTCACATCATCTTTTTCTTCAGCAAATAATTGGATCCCTCCATGGCTGCTGTACATCAGTGCCATCTTAAATGAGGCGATGTCCGAAATAGACAATGAATTCATGAATATGTACTAGGAGATATGGTTAATCCTTCTGTCCGGGCGCTCCTCAATAGCACAAGTTAGGATATGACATTTCGAGTATGAGTGCAATCTAAAAAGATGAACAAGACTGGACAATTAAGAGACTGCAAATGAGAGATTTTGTCATAATCATCAATTTCTGACCAAACTCTCCAAAATGACAACAGCTGAACAACCCACATCTTACCTGTCTTACTGTAAAACATGATCTCATCCTTGAACTCCTTGCGCCCCTCCAAGGCATCGTCGATGCTGATGATGATATTTTCACTGGTCTCGGGGCCGTAGAGGAACTTACACGCGCAACTCTTTTGCATGACTTCCGCCCTGGAGAAGCCTGTGAGCTCACAGAAGCCATCCGAGCAGTAGACGATGGGGAAGCCTTTGGACACCTGAGCGTTGGCCAGAATGAAATTACTGTCTGGAGGAGGAAAAGAATGGGAATGGGGGTCACTTGACTGACTATAAGTGACCGTAATTCAATGACCAAGATCCATCCATCATTGTGGAAATTCCCCATTAAACTGAGACCATATGAAAACATTTTAAAATGTTACCCCTGCGACAAACTTAAAAAAAAAAAAAAACACAATTGTTGGCACGCGCTTAAGCTTTTTAAAACACATTGTAACCATATTTCAAAACACACGCATACAAACAATAACAAGACTAAAATATATAGGAAACACTAAACGTTTCGTAGTGTCTGTGTCCATAAAGTTCACTGTCAAACTAAACAGAAGACAAAGAGAAGTACACTTTGTGTGTTGAAAATAAAAACAGAGCTTCGCCTTCAAGCCAGCTAGCTTAATGCTAACATATAACGCAGTAGACGGGGCTAATGAAATGCACTGGTGTCACACACATTGTTACAAACCTTTAAGCAAAAATGAATATTAGAATACAAACGGTGGACTGTGAATAAAGACGAACGTTATGGCGGCTTACTGAGGACCTGGGACCGGTTCGATGGATTGCAAATCTATAAATACAATGCTAACTAATGCAGTACCCGTGTTGACATGTCACTCTATTTTGCATGACCTGGCAGCAAAAAAGGACTGGCGTTAAAAAAAAAAAAAAAAAAAAAAAAAAGTAAAATAAATACAATAGTTTGTTATACAGACTAATTTATTGATTTCGTTTGTTTAAAAAAAAATATGGGAAGAGGATGAGAAAAATAATAATTGCATATTAAATCGGAATCGCAATACTGAAGAGAAAAAAAAAACACACACAATTATTGCATATTATTCTTCAAAATGGTCCACACCTAATTTAGAGGATAATAATGATATGTGCTTTGGCTTTTCATGTTATGTGGATGTTGATACAAGAGTATGTTAAAAACGTTCATCATGGCCTCTAAATTGCATACAGCACGGAACCCCCCCGCCCCCCCGACTCAAAATCAATTGATTCAACCCTATTACACAGGACAAGCGTTCTAACCTGATCATATTCATTGGCACGAGTCATCCTGCAAAGGGACTTGTTCTCATAATTTCTATTTTCTGCATCAATAATTTCAATCCCAGCCCCCACCCCCACCCCTTACAACCGCACAGGTATTTAATTGTTTTATGTTGTACGTCAGGCTTTGTTGAAGGAAAGCACCTAAAACTATGTGTGGGAATATCGCAAGTGGAGAATAAAGGCCTTGTATTTGTCCCTCGTGAGTTTGTGTTCTCTCGAATGCTCTCCTCGCTTGTGAAATATCAAAATATGAATGGATGTCACGTTCGGTTGGGCGGGACTTTCACTGTGCGAGTGATAACAATGATGGTTAGGACGGCAGCATATTTCGCATCGGTGACACAAACACGCTGCATGAAAGACACGCGCATTCTCCTAAGACGTTCTAATCAACTCACCGGACACACTATTAGGTACAACCCACGTCAGCCAGCGAAAACTGCAGCCAGTTGAGACAGATACATCTGATGGACAGATACTGGAAAAAAAAAATAGATATATCTATAGAAACGTACCAATCGTAGCCACAGTCCTCATAAATGAATGCCAGGAATGTTTTGTCAGCAGCAGTATACGGGCCAGACAGCTGGTCAAAAGGCGCTCACTGCATTGGGACCAGCTGTCAGTTGTGAGGCCCCTCAGGCCCCTGATGGTAAGCAAAGACCAACAGGAGCGTTGGCCTCGAAGGGCCCGAGGCCTGTTTGATGGCAGCCTCATGTGCACGAGGGACAGGCCTCGACAGGAAACGAATGCTTACAACGAACTTGCCGCAGTGCTGCGGAGGACAGAGAGGTTTAAAAAGGCTTGCAGAGAGCCGGTTAGCATACAATCTCCAAAGCGCTGGGTCAAAAGTAACCTCCGTTGGGTGAAATGGCAAACCCAGTGCTGGGTCCAAAAGGGGCTGAGCCACAGTTGGGTTGAGGATTTGAACTTTGACACTGGGTCAAGATTTTGTTACTAGGGGTAAAAATAATGCTACTTTTAATACCAACATTTTCAAGATGAATCATTGAAACTGCTGGCTTGAAAATGTGTTTAAAATAAATAAATAAATAAATAAAAATTGAGTGACCCGCTACTTTGGTAAAGTTGACCCAACGTTGAGTTGTTTTGAATGAAAACAACCCAACATTTTTTGTGTGTGGACCAATGTGTTTGTAATTTAAAAAAAAAACTCTATAATATATTTGACCAAAAAATATATATAATAATACAACAATAACAATCAAATCGAACGTAAAGAATGACTTGGTTACATTTGGCGCCTTTTCTATCTCCTAATATCCTCCGCACAAATCCCGCCTCCTCCTCCCAGCTACATGCCAACTGCAGTTTTGGATCTGTCTGCCTCAAAACTCGTCATTTTTTTCCCCTCCACAAGCAGAGTAGCCATCCTCCCCAGATTATTTATCCCCCCCCCCCCACACCCCCACTTCCCTCTTTGCACATACACTTTCTCGCAGCAGCGCTTGAGATCATTTGCTTTGACCGCTTCCTTTCACTTAGAAAACACCTGAATCATCTCTTTGCCACACTTTTCTACCCCACTTACCCCCCCCTCCTTTTTTTCCCCAGCCTCTTCATCATCTCCAATTTTCCACAAACTCTCTCTCCCTCTTCCCCTCGTCCCCCCTCTGAATCTCTTTAACCTAATTGTTCCTATGTGGAAGCCCATATATCATTTCCTATCATGCTCACAATAGTGCCTGACAGCTGTTGAGGAAACCCCCTCAGGACCGGCGAAGAAAGTCGGCACGGTGGCAAAAGTGAGAGAGGAAAGAGGAAAGAACAATGCAAAAAAAAAAAAAAAAAAGACGACGAGAGATTGGCATGGAGTCTTTTTTTTTTCCTCCCCCATTTTGAGTGATACTTTCAATTATCAGCTCAAATGATGCAATATAAATCCCAAAAAGTGAAACCTCCCGAGCGTAGCGTCCTTAAAGTTGTGCAAATTAGAGTGTAGCCAAAATGCTTGGACAAAACAGGTCAAACCAAAAACTTTTTCAAGCATTATCGTGTGTGACATCACGTGACATTTCAGCAAAAGCCACACGCGGATTTTGCTTTTTCTTTGGCTTCCTTCTTTTTGTGAGGCCATCACAGACGGGGATCAATGACACTTTAATCTGAAAAATGGAATTGATTGGAGATAGGAAACGGGCCTGGGTGCTCAGTATAATTTGAGCAATGCCCGCCATCCATCCATCCATCCATCCATCCATCCATCCATCCATCCATCCCCCCAAAAAGATCTAACTAACCGAATGCATACTGTATTTCTAGACTGGGGTCAAAAATCAGAGGATTTGGAAACAGACCAAGCAAACTCACAGGGAAAGGCCCGAACCAAGACCCAAACCCCAAACCTCTGCTCGTGACATGCTCTACCGAGCTGTCAGTTGTCTCGAATGACGAGAAGGATCCAATATTCCGGATACCAGTTCTTGCCATGCTGTCATGGCAACTTCTCCAAACTAATGGCGGTGTCGCTACCGGAAGGTTCCACATTTGTCTTGTCCAAAGGCTCACTGTTCTGTGCACATTAGGCCACTTCTACTCCAGCGTAAAAATTCATTCAAATCTATTTTGAGCACAACAATTCACGCAACGGAGATAAAGAAGAGCCTTGATGGCCAAATGTGTCAGGGAAACAGGCAGGGGGGAGCAAAAGATAGATGGTGAGAAAAAGGAGAGCATCCGAGGCGAGGCGATGCGGTAAAGGAGAGGACGGAAGAGGGCGAGGGAAGCAAGAGGTTGACGTGAAGGCGGAGAGAGCAAAGGTTGGATGTGAGAAAGATGAAGCTTTGAGAGGAGTAAGAATGAAAGATGGAGATGGAGCGTCGGGGGGGGGGGGATTGGGAAGTGACGGATGAGAACATCTCGCCCTTCTGCAAGAATTCATGACGGCCACTCAGAAAGTAAGACGGAGCAGTCGCATCTTGTAGCTGCGATGAAAAATGTCATCACTGAGTTATAACCTGACAACCAAGCTGGACGGTTTTAGCGGTTGGTACCCTACTCAGGATTAAACCTTCAAACTGTGCTATCCGATACAAGAACACAGACTTCCGCTGAGGTTAAATCGTAAATCACAGTCGAGAAAATTCAAAATACACTTGTTGCGTTGCGTCAAAAAAGGTTGCCATATTTGAATGAAGATGTCATAGGATGGTGGCACAGCCAAAGGTGAATCTCACTTTCCTTCGCACATAGATGCCGCAACTTACTTCAACATAGTACCACGGCTCCAACATTCCACAAGATGGTGCCGAAAGCACCACTCGAATCACCTCAACTCACTTTGACATAGTTCCTTGCCACCAATATGCCGACACGGTCCTACTTGAAGCTCTTCAACTCTTTTAACCTAGTTCCTTGGCACCAAGTTGCCACAAGAGGGCGGCAAAGCCCCACTCGAAGCTCCTCAACTGATTTCGACACAGTTCCTTGGCACCACGATGCCACAAGTTGGTGGCTTTTAAGAAGCGGAACAACAAATGGTGATTATTAAAACAGTACCCATCGCCGTGGCACTTTTGAGCTTGTAATAAGTAATAAATTGGCTCTCATGTACACACACGCAATGATCATTTCCTCAAATGATAATAACCAAAGGGAGAAAATCATTAGGCAAAGACCATCGTCGCTACATTACAAAAATGAAGCAGCCAAACTTTCTTGGCAAATACCTTCATCGCCGGCATGTCTGTCTTTCTATTTGGCCACCCAAGTCATTTTCGAATCAGGAATTAAGCGAGGCTAAAAATGTGCGACTCGCCCCAGGAATTCCGCTGGTGAAACCCGCGTTTGTCGATGTTTCTGGACAGGCCTTTAGACATGGCGATTCAGGGCGGAATCTTGCTAATTAGGCACTTTAACGAGACAGGGCAAGGTGCCTGCAGCTATGGGAGCTGCTCTCATTCTGAAGTTTGTCCATCTTAAGTG